CCCCCAAAAGCTTTTCAAATGTAATAGTTCTAATTCCATCTCCGTAATCTTTGGAATTGCACTTAATTGATCTAAGAAATTTCCTTTTTCCTCCAGTCTTCTTCCCAGATTGTTGGTTTTAGGAAGATGTGATGGGAGGAAAAAGTGCATCCAAAATCAAAGTAGAAACAAGGGGTAAGAGGCCTTTTATTTAAGACTAAACCTTTCATTTAGTTAACTTAGGACTTCTACTAACTGCATAGTGGTATGTGTGAATCCTGGTTATTGTATCTGCTTGCTACTTCTTCCCCCACCCTGCTGCTGAAAATAGCCTAATTCTGCTATTATGTATCTCATGCAGTTGATAAGCGGATTGAGTCAGAGGAGTCAGGAGACGAAGAAGGGAAGAAGCAAGCAGTTCGCTTAGTGACAGACCTCAGTCAGCAGAGCCTGAGAGATGAGCAGAATGGAGAGAACTCCACAGGTACCTTGACAACATAGATGGTCACCTTAGGAAATGTCTTACCAGTGTGTCCCCCTGCGTGTGTGTGACAGTCTTCTGTGTTTCTTGTGGCTATGTGATGGTTGTATTGATGTGAGTTAACAACATGAACCTGTCTTAGACAATCTTCTTTAGAAATAAATAAATGGTAGTGTTATTGCTAAAATAAAGCTGCCCTCTTTGTGTGGAGCCACTGATACTAGACCTTTGGGGTTTTCTTGTTTATTTATCCATCTGTGTTTCTTTTTGAGATCTTCAATATCAAAATGCAGAACACTTTTACTCATGCTATTTGTGTGGAAACATAGTAACTTTCTGTTTAAAGATGCAGGAAATGTTCATTAGAAACAAACATAAGCAGCTTTTCATAATTTTGCTTTAGTGTATGTAGTTCTTTAGATAAAGAGTTGCCTGATTCGTTTGGAAGGCAGAGACTCCTATTTCTATCTAAATTGAGGGAAGCTGTCAATTTTTATTTCTTAAATTTAAAACTTCTAAGACATATAAAAATTACATCTTTTTGAATTCTCTTGACTTTTAACTTTTGCTACTGTTTTTACTGTTTGGATTAGAGCATTGGGTAGAAATACTGAGAGACTTTTAAGCCTGCGCATGTTTGATGGAAGGGTTTGCTTTACAGTAGCTTGTATAGAATCTTTCAGAGCAGACCCATTTCTGACCATGTTGTGTGGCAATATGACCTGGGCTTCTGGTGCTAGCTAACAATCTGAGATATAATAGCATCCTTTTGATAGAGATGCTTATGTGATTATTATTCCTCTGGAAATGGAAGTGAAATAATGCAGCGAATTTCCTGCAGCAAATCTTAAGTCTCTTTTTGAGTATGCACCTACTACATTTCTCTCCTAATCTTCACCTTGCCCATTAGAATCTGCAGAAGTATTTTCCTAACTAGTTAATTATTCTTAGAGTTTAAAATCTCATCTCTTAACTAAACAAACTCTATGTAGGTCTAAATCATTGCTGATTGCAAAAAAACCCCTATATATTACTTACAACGTGCTGTGGTGATGGCTGTAAAAGTGTTCAGAGCTCACATCCCAGGTGCTATACGATTAACATGACCATGCAGATCAGTCAGTTTTCCTTTGCATGCACAACACTGAGTATTTGTTCAGCTGACAAAATTTAGCTGTGAGTTTGAGGTTATATTTCGTATGTTGGTCCCCCAAAAATTGCAATTCTAGAGAAAATACCTCAAGTAATGCACGGTTATTCCAGTGAAAACAAGAAAAACACATTCAGATTTGGTGCTGAATTACACTGATGCTATTTAATATAAACACCCTATCGTTACTACTTCTTCCAAAGTGTTAGGATTCAGAAAACTTCTAGGGCAGAAACCAAGCAGAGGGATAATTTTGGAACATTTGAGTTAGCTTCCGTGCCAGCTTTTGAGTTTCTTGTTTGAATGGAAACTGAGAGTTTTCTACATTTTTCACAGAAGATCAGAAATAGAAAGAGCTAAAGCAGCTGAAATTTCAACTTCATCATTTAGCTGATTCTCTGAGGAATAGCGCCTCTACTCAGAAAGCTTATAACTTGGCTATTTATAATATGTTTCATGCATACGCAGTTAAGAAGTGTAGTTAGGCTTTTAGTTGCTCTAAATGCTTGTGGTACTGTGAACTTACATAACTCAGTAACTACTGCTCCGTACTGCGGAATTTGGGTTTCCTGAATGCCATCTTTTTTTCCTACATCTGCAAAGCTGTGCAGCCTCCAGGCGTGGGTTACACAGGAATTCACTGAAGTAACTTCACTGCCACAGCAGTGTTTTATTTCCCCTTGTGAAACCTGCTGCATTAAAAATTGTGAACTGAAGCACCATTTGTGCACAAACTGCATGCAAGTGAAGTTGCAGTTCTCCTTGTAAAGTGGTGGTAAAAGGGCTATTTTAGGGTGTTCTGCATCCTCTTGGTTCATAAATAAAATGTTGATTGACAATTGATAGGACTGTAAATTGGGTAGAACCATTTTTGTTTCTCTTGTTTGAGAGAAAATGTACTTTAACGTTTTCATGCTGATACTGATTTATCAGTGTTATCACTATACACCCATCACTCAGACTGCTATGTGGGAGAGTGTTTTATACACAGTACATAAACTTTGAGAGTTAGCCTTGTTACATGAATGTCTCCAGTTTTAACATGCTTTTATTTCAGTGAATTTGATATGGATACCCTGTGTGATTTGATTTTGCAACTTTGGACTTGAGTGCCTTTTTTTCCTCACACTGGCTCTACCAGCACTAGTTGCTCAAAGCCATATGGCAAAAAGATGAGGAGCTACCCTTTGACAGATTGCAGAACAAAGTGTTTAACACGTTGCCAAAGCCTCATGTGTATGAAGTGGTCTGTAGTGGGTGCTGTGATGAGACTTGTAATTTTCCTACCAGCCAAACAATGTGAAAGGATTTTTTTACCTAAATTTTTTTTTTTAAGAATAATTCTTTTTTTAAAGAGTGCATGTGTGGCTTTATTGTTTGACAACTTCTAATTCTTAAAAGGAGGAATTCCTTCAGCATAAGCACTAATTACTGTACAGCTTAATACAAGGAGAATAGTTTTGGGGTTTATGTGGTATTTGAAATAAGTTCCAAACTTAGACTGTGTTCCTGTTGGCTGTAAGTTCAGCTAGGTGCTTGTTTGGCTTGGAGCACTTTGTGCTGGTGGCCTTTGCACCCTAGAAACAGGTCAAATAAATGCAGCCCTGGTAGCAGCAGGATAGGGTATCCCACTGCCCTGCTTAAGTGTATAGCTCCTGATCTAGAAGAAAAATAAGAAAATTCAAGTGTTGCCCACTGCTAAAATGCTGTCAGGCATATGTATGCATGTCAGTTTTGGTGGCATTTCTATACCACAATTAAATGTCACCAAGCCTACCGGCTCATTTTGCATCCCCAAAATACCATTTATGCTTCCTGCTAATTTATGCTATAAAGAATATTAAAGGTGAAGGACAGAGGATTGCTTTTCAGTCTTAACTTTGTGAGTCAGTTCAGTTAGTGCTCTTTCCTATTTGACTGCCCAAGCAAGAGCAGTAGCCCAGATACAGCAAGGTAAATGATGGTGTGAGGAGCTATCAAACATTGGAGTTTGATGGCAGTATTAAAAACTATAATGCTTGTACTGTTCATCCTTACAGTGCTACTTAACGGTGCCAAGCATCGTAGGTAAAACACTTGTGAAGTATAGGGGACATTTGGCATTTACAAGGATTCTGTAACCTTGCTGGACTATAAAAATAGTGATTACTTCTGGGTTAATGGAATTAGCTTGCATGTGGTAGTGCAGGAGTTAATGCAAAGCCTTTGGGATCTGACTAATGAAAGTTTCTTAGTTTTTTGGTAGTACATACAGAAGCTAAACACAGGAAGGGGAAAGGGGTTGCACGTTGTATGTTTGTTTTGCAAAGTCAAGTTAGACTTTCTTTGGAAATTGATGCAACTAGCACTCTGCCTTCAATAAATGGGAGTCAGGCATGAATTATTCAGCATAAATTTATCCAGTAAACTTCACTCCCTCTTGTGCTGTGCAAGTATAGCAAATGTTGGGTTGTCTTCCAGAGCTATAAAGGCATTTTCCAAGAAAAAGCATGCAGTGGGATAATGTTTTCTAGCATATTAGTGAGTTCAGCCTAACAAAAGAAGGGAGATTCACTGAATCACAGAATTGTTAGGGCTGGATGGGACCTCTGGAGATCATCTAGTCCAACCCCTCTGCCAAAGCAAGGCCACCTAGAGCAGGTTATGCAGAAACACATCCAGGTGGGTTTTGAATGCCTCTAGAGAGGGAGCCTGCACAATGTCCCTGGGGAGCCTGTTCCAGTGCTCTGCCAACCTCGACATAAAGTTCTTCCTCATGTTGAGGTGAAACTTCTTGTGTTGTAGTTTATGGCCATTGCTCCTCATCCTGTTGCTGGGCACCACTGAAAAGAGTCTGGCACCATCGTCCTGGCGCCTGCCTTTGAGATACTTATATGCATTAATGAGATCCCCTCTCAGTCTCCTCTCCTTTAGGCTGAACAAGCCCAGCTCCTGCAGTCTCTCCTCATAAGAAAGATGCTCCAGACCCCTGATCATCCTTGTGACCCTCTCCTGGACCCTCTCCAGTAGCTCCTTGTCTTTCTTGTACTGAGGAGTCCAGAAGTGTACCAGTACTCCAGAATGGCCTCACCAGGGTTGAGTAGAAGGGGAGGATCACCTCCCTTGACCTGCTGGCCACACTTCTCCTGATGTACCCCAGGACACTCTTGTCCCTCCTGTCCACAAGGGCACACTGTCAGCTCATAGTCAACTTACCATGTACCAATACTCCCAGGTCCCTCTCAGCTGAACTGCTCTCTAGTAGGTCAGCCCCCAGCCTGTACTGGTACTTGGGGTTCTTCCTCCCTAGGTGTAGGACCCTACACTTGCCCTTGCTGAATCTCATAAGGTTTCTTTCTTCCCATTTCTCCAGCCTATCAAGGTCCTGCTGTATGGCAGCACAGCCTTGCAATGTTTCAGCCACTTACCCAGCTTTGTATCATCAGCAAACTTGCTGAGGATACACTCTAGCCCTTCATCCGTCTTGTTGATAAACAACTTGAATAAGACCGACCCAATATTGATTCCTGGGAACACCACAGAGAAGAATCCATGCAAGTGTGTGCACAACATTGATATAAGCTGGCAGTCATTATGAAAAAAAAAGCTAAGGGTGGGGTTGCTGAAATACTCGTTCATTCACGGCACTGTCACTAGAGAGTTTAGAGTCCTTGGCCATGTTGTTTTAGGTTATCAGAGGAGCACAGACACCTTGGGAGGTATGTATCAGAGGGATGATGGCCATAAGTGTAAAGAAAAGGAATCCAGCCCAGTCTTCAGGCAGCATTATCCAGCAGCCACACAGGCATGTCTTTTGATCTAGGCAAAACTTGTGTTAAGAAAGCTTGGTTTTTAGGTGTCACCATAAAAGCCAAATAGGTGAAGAGTATTTTTAATGCAGCAGAGTATCTGAACTGGGCATCTTCTTCTGAGGAGCATTTGCTCCCTTTGCCTCTGCAGATGTTAGCCACTGTTATCTTGTCTTAAGCTGTCAGGTAGAAGTTCATAATGTATTTGCTTCTCCTGCAGAAGAAGCAGAGACACCAGTGGACATGGAAACAATTAGCCTGGACCCAGAAGCTGAGGTAAAGGCAGATTTTTGTCCTTACGCGCTTTATACAGCAGGAAGAAAAGGTGTAGGCAAAGGCAAGTATTGAAACCTGGTTAAAAGATCTAATTCTTCTGGAGGTGCTGGCTACCAGTGAGCTGATTGCTGCTGTCAGACCTATGATTTTTAATTGGCACAGATACTTAACCAGCTTTGTGCCTTGGCATTGACAGCCTCATGAGCCTGTTAGGCTGGAGAGATTTTGCGTGTGGGTGGTGAAGTGCTCTATTTCTCTTTGATTAACTGACCTGCAAAACTGGAACATCTGGGACGGGACAGCATAGATGTGAAGTGCATCAGCTGATTGCCAGTGCAGAGTTATCATTCACAGAATGACAAGACTATTTGAATTATCAGTGATTCCTGTTAATCTGAGGCCCGGAACTGGAAATAGTGAGGTGTGTTCCATGCAACACTTCACTCATGCTAGACAGCAGAATTTGTCTGTCTCAATAAACTCAATTACTGCAAAAGATTTCTGATTTTGGCAAGACAATGCTCAGACTCAGAAAAGGGCTGTTGCATTTTCACAGATACTGTGTTTTCGGTTGACAAGCTTAGGCCACCTGCTTCCCCTGGGATTGGTAAAATCATGTGCCAAACCCGGTTTCCACTAGCTCTTTGAAGGGAAGTTTTAATGAGCAACATGTTTTTTAGCTCTGTAATTTTCCTTGGAACAAAGTACCAGGTTGGTCTTTGAAAAGTGTTTTAAGACAACTGCTGAATCCTTCCATTTCTCTTTCAGGATGTTGACTTGAATCATTTCCGAATTGGGAAGATTGAAGGATTTGAGGTGCTCAAGAAAGTGAAGGTATCAGTAGTCCTAAGGAGTAGAAAATGCTTCTTGGAATTTGAGATTTTTCTTATCTAATATATAAGAGAACAGATATAGGCTGAGTTCCTAATGAGTTCACTTCAGGTGTAACTGAAGGAGATAGTGTTTACCCATTTGCCAAGTAGTCATAAAAATCCTAGGGTTTTGCAAGCTGGGTTTGGAAGTGGATGAGACACAACAGGTCAGGGTTCATCCTAAGAGATACATTCTGTAGTTGCACAGCAAGCTTAACATAGAATAATGTAGATTGGAAAGGACCTCTGGAGGGCTCTAATAAAGCCTTGCTCAAAGCAAGTTCAGTTAGAGCATGTTGCTTAGGGCCTTCTCCAGCCAAACTATTGAGTATTTCCAAGGAAGGAGATTACATAGCCTCTCTGAGGTCTTGTTATAGTGTCTGACCATCTTTGTGGTAAAAAGATTTCCTTCTGTAGAGTTGGAATGAAAGAAGAAAAGATTCTATTTAAAAAAACAACAACCTATCAACCTATCAAACCCCCACAAAAAAAAAAAAACAACCAAAAAAAACCCCAAACCAAAAAACCCAAAACCAAAGCCCAGCAAGACTTAATGGGGGAAAAAAAAAACCCAGACCACTTTATTGTCTGAATGCCATTCATATGCATTTTCTTGTTTGTTTTCAAACTTTTCCCCAACTATTAGACTCTGTGTCTCCGTCAGAATTTGATTAAGCGCATTGAGAACCTGGAGCAGTTGCAGACCTTGCGGGAACTGGATCTCTATGACAATCAAATTCGGAAGATTGAGAACTTGGAGTCTCTAGTGGAACTTGAGTGAGTCCAGGGGAATCACTAGCATTAGTTTGAGGGTGGTTTGCTGCGCACTGAGTTACTCATGCTGCACTTATTCCAGTATTTATCACCCAGGCCTTTCTCATGATTCATTTGGGTGCTGTGTGAGAGATAATGTCTGTTATCTGTTAACATTTAACCTGTGCAGTCAACTAGTTTCATTAACCTGAAACTCACCAGGGACAGACAGCTGGAAATGAAACATGTGCTGCATAAGGCAGTTTTGAGTGATAGGTGGTTGCAGCTTCTGTGCAGATGTGGAAGCACTCAGGCACCCCTTGCTCTTGGCAGCGAGAGTTTGGTATAACAGGTTTTTATTCCTGACAAGAGATTTGAGGTGAGATTAGGACTTCTTATGGAGGGTGTCAGGGAAGGAGTAGTGCTCTTCCCAGTTTCATGCTTATGGGAGGCCTTGATATCGTCCTGTAAGAGGCAGATCATGTAGGCATGTACCTTTCCCAAGGAATGTTCGGTACTGATGATTGGCTTCCTCCCACAGTGGTACTTCATGGCTGGGCAAAACAATGGCTGTCTTCTGCTTGCAACAGATTATTTTTTTTCCCTGACACACTGTAGAAGTATTTTGAAAGTTGTATTTGTTGCCATCTCCAATAAAAATAAATAACACTTATGACTGTAGCTTTAAGACCTAGGGGAATCTGATCTCTGCAGATAGTGAGGTTCCCCACCAATTTACAAGTGTCTCTTCCAGAATCATCTGTGCCTGATGGACTGAAGTGACCTTTGTTTTGTTTTGCCTCAGGATCCTGGACATCTCCTTTAACGTTCTGCGACACATTGAAGGACTAGATCGGTTTAGCCAACTTAAAAAACTCTTCCTTGTCAACAACAAAATCAGCAAAATTGAGAATTTGAGCAACTTGCAGATGCTACAGATGTTAGAGTTGGGATCAAATCGAATTCGGGTAGGTTTGCTCTGCAAGATGTTAGCTGGAGAGTTTTAGCTCTTTGACTTGGGGTTAACTTTTTCTGAAAGTGCACTTCGTTGACTTACACTTGCAGTTTTGTTCTTGTTATTGTTCCAGTCATTTAGTGTGTAATTGCTTATTGCTGTGCATGCTGTGTGCTTTAATCGTGTGTGCATGGAGTGCCTGGCTACTAAAGTACTGTTTATTAATTTCTCTCTTTAGCGAAGTCATGCACCCCCTGTGTGTTGCCTTTTGCAGGTGATAGTTTCCTCCTGCTACAGGGTACTTCTTTATTGTGCAGTTTGTGACTTTGTCAATGTAGGTGATCTAAAATCTATCCCACTGAAGGGGAAGCAGTTCTGAATAGTCTTTCCTTCCTTAAGGTATGCTTCCTTGCATTCTGCCCAGTTTGTAAGAGAACTAGTGAAACAGATGACACAAAAGACTTGCCACATGCAAAGTAAACTGTTGATTTTTAGAAGCTTTTTTCAATTCTGTACACTTCAGATAATACTTCTAACAGATGAGTGCATTTCAATCTGAAAATTATCTGAATTGCTGCTGCTCATTTACAATCTCTGAAAAAATTACTTGTTAGGCAGAAAGAGCAAATTAGGAAAAGAACTGTTTGTCTTCTCTATTTCAAGCCTTGTGGAAGCACATGTCTCTTTCTAGAAAAGAAGGAAATTTCAGCTATTATAACAGCCTTTTAAGGCAGAAATGTATGCTGCTTTTATGAATTGGAAAAAAATTATTTTTTCCTAAAGGTAAACTGGACTGAATTCTTTTCCATAAAAAAAAAAAAAAAAGCAACAATCTATTTTGTAAATGAAATCACTTAAGGAAATAAATCTAGAGTGTGAGAGCATCAGCCAGATCAGCCAAGTGATCAGGAACCTTGGAGTTTACATAGGTCAGGGAAACATGATTTAGAGAGAGAGACACGTTCCTTTATTCAGCAATGGCCTAAAGCACACTGATCCTTACACCTCAAAAGCTGAGTTAAGCAAGAGTGTACTGTCTTCCACATCTGAGCATATCTACCTTCTGCAAAACGAAACAAAAAAATCCAGCTAGATTTCTGAATTGATAAAGCCACTAATGTTGTCAAGCTAGAGAATATCTTTTAAACAACTAGATTACATTTATTTTATGTGTGTTTTCTCAGCATTCAGCCTGAGCATATTAACGAAACAACCCAAAGGCCCAGAGTTATCACTGTATGGGTAACATACATATGCTTGTGTTGTGGAATTAGTGAGCTTCTTAAATTACTTCATTTTTAGCAGTGTTTTTCTGTTTATCTGCTAATTCTATTCTGGCTTCTTCAGACAGCACTGCTCTATGCTGCTAATGGCTTTATTGGAGTGGGTAACCTGTGTCTAGGGTAGGCATGAAGAAATATGTTAATTGGGGGTGCCTAGAACTCTTTCAATAGTTTTCTGTTGGGCGGGTGGCCTGGCTTTGTGTTTTACAGGTGGGCATATCCTTAAGTCTTTAGAGTAAAAGCCTATGGACTCTGTTCAGGCAGCGCTCTTGGCTCTGAGGTGCCTCATATACTCATCCCCTTTGCATTAAAGCTTCCGCAGTAACGCTGTCTTAGTTGCATACTCTAACCTTTTGGAGGGACTCTGTCATGACTTACTAAGCACTTGTAGTTCTGTTCCTTTTGTATGAATGGTGGGGAGGCAGAACTTTATGCTTGAGCTGGCACATTTCATGCTTTTTTCCAAACTTGGACTGAGGCAGCTATAAGGCAAGCACTTCTTTCTTTGCTCCTTAGATCTTTTTCCCCTCATTTCCATCTGTTTCATACTCTTACTTACCTGTGGCTTTTTTATAGTTTTAAGGACTGTTTTTTTTTCCCCCCGACTGTATCTTCTCAGTATCCTCAAGAGTCACAAGTATTTCCTCCTCGTGGCTGGGGGAGCTACCAATGAGCAGCAAATCTATCATTTTCTTGCAAGGTCAAAACAGGGGTAAGTCCACAGGCTAGGTGGAGGGTGAATCCAAATCTGAGCTGATGAACATCTTATGTTGAATCTGTTGGCAGTTGCGGGATAGAGGTTGAAAACCTGCTTTCCTTTCCAGAGTGTATCTCTGAATTCATAGTGTGTGTTTGTGTCCATCTTCATCTTCCTTTATATGTGTGCAGGTGAATATGCACACACACGAACACACAATAACCTAAGGGGTGGTAGGACTCAGTGGTCTGTCTTACCAGCACTACTAGTCTCTGAAACTATGCCTGGCAAAAAGGATGTGGAGAAGCTGAGATGTCATAAGGTACTGAGCACAGATGTACAGCTCTGTGTGTATCTATACATATATTACTATTCTTCTGTGAGCTGAGGTCTGTTTTAAAAATTCTTGTCTCCTTTAATAGCACTTGCTTTTGAATTAAGAGGCTTTCCCTTGGAAAAGAAACCCCAAACCTCTGTTTTCTTCTGTTTAAAGGAGCCCTTGTTTTAAGCCCACCCTTTTCCCCTTTTCTTGCCCAGTTTTCTGTCTTTTGTTCATGCATTCTGGTGCCTCTTCCTTTGTAAATAAAGAATTCTTGATGCCTCACAGACATCTTTACCTTCTCCCACTGAAGGTTTCGCTCAGGACTTAAACTGGTATAGCATATATGTTCTGCCAGTAGCATGCATATTTAAAACATGTACATCACTTTAATTGGTCTGTGTATGTTCTGCCGGTAGCAATATATAGTCTGTAGTTAAATATATGAACACATAAACCCATGAGACAGTTAACCCTGCTCATGACAGCTGTTGTGTAGAGAAGCTGAAGAGTTTGTCTCTGTGTTATGTGGTCACTGATGGGCATTTGCAAATTGTATTTTCTCATCCCAGATTCTCTTTCCATTCACTAGTGACAGATTTTTCTTGCTTCATAAATGAGTGTCTCCTGCCCTGGATGCACCTTGTGGCGCAGGGAATGTCACTTTCAGTGCTCCCTGAGCCTTTCCATTCACTGCTCTTGCTGCCTGGGCAGCAGAGGCAACAGCTGGGGCAGAGTGACACAACCCTTGCTGTGTTAATAGCAGTGCCACAAGCCAGCTGTCACACGGGCTGAGGCTCACTGTCACTGCACAATCCTGCACTTACTCTTTGGTCACAAGGGAGGTCCTACCTTGTGCATGCTTTGTGTTGTGGAATTGACAAGTTTGTGTTTCACAGGAGTGCAGCTCTGTGGGTTAAGGCTAGAAAATGCCAACCACATCTACAGGTTGGAGTTGTGCATCTCAGCAATAACACTGTGTCCTTTGGTCATTTTGCAGGTAATTGAAAACATTGATGCCTTGGCTAATCTTGACAGTCTGTTCCTTGGAAAGAATAAAATCACCAAGCTCCAGAACTTGGATGCGCTGACAAACTTGACTGTGCTCAGTATACAGGTATTGGTTCTACTTTGTGCTGTTACGTTTGAACAGCCTCGGTTGTATGAACACCTTGAAATTCATGATGAGCTCTTCTGAATCAGCAGGTCTTCAGTGTTTGAGTCAAACTCCTGTACTGGAACAAAGTGTGACATTCTCTGTGCTGACTTTTCTCATTCTTCCGTACTAAATGAGCTCGTCAGGCACTGATAAAATAATAAAACAAATGTTTGATTTTTATGCAAGAAAGACAGGAAAGTTGTTATCCCCCATTTCCTTCCTGAAATAGAGTTTCCTGATACATTACAATAACATCAAATGAGTTGTCATAATGGCACAGGCTCAGTGTCACTAGCTTCTTCCTGAAGAGGGAAGAAACATGAACAAGCCTGTGCCAAATGAAATCTGCCCTTAATGAGCTCATGGGAAGTGTCTTCCTTTTTAAAAGGTAGAATAAAAGACACAAAACAAATTCTTTCACTGTGTCACCTTCTTGTCCATATGACAATGGTAGTGTATTCTCGTATCTCTTACAGCTGTGAGAAAGGCACACTCACTACATGCTGTAGCACCTGTATGCATTGTCATTCTATAGGATGTAAAGAATTATGTTCTGCAGAGTGTACTGGGATTGAAGTGTTGTAACTCCCTTTCTGACCTTTCCATTGAAAAGACTTAAAAAATGAATGCTGTTAACACCTAGGCCTGTCTAAAGACACCAAATGGAAAACTTTCAGGCTACAACTTTTGATGGGAAGTTCAGAGTCTGATTTTTCTGAACATAAAGACCTTGGCTCCTGTGGAACAAGCTGAGCTCATGAGATCTGTGTGGACCCAAGCAGACTATTTCCTCTGCCCATCTATACTTCAGATAAATGCTTTTTCTCCAATGAGTCCCCTGGGTTTTGGTTTGTTTAGAGTGGACTTAAACTGCTGTTCCACTTTCAGAATAACCGTCTGACTAAGATTGAGGGGCTGCAGAGCTTGGTGAATCTGCGTGAGTTGTACCTCAGCCACAATGGCATCGAAGTCATCGAGGGACTGGAGAACAATGTGAGCAGGCTCTTGCTAAGTGTGTGACACAACTGTTGCCCTAAGCTGCTTCTGTTAGTGGCTGTGTTTTCTTGGGAGCTTTTGTTCCTCAGCTTCCCAAGTTGTTATGTGGGGTCCTCAGTCTTTTTGAAAGTCCACAAAGATCTAAGTATTTGTTATGTTAAAATATCTTTCATGGGTGAAGCTCCTCCAGAACTTCTGGAGTAGATGTGTTTTCATGACTTGGGGAGGGGAAGCACAAGATGTGGTGAATGCAGCAGCCTGGCTGATCTTCAGCAGTGGAGAGACTGATGGCCACAGCTGGCTGTCTCTGCTGCAGCCTTTCAGACAGCAGGTTGTAGATACCCAGGAGTTCTTTTCAGTGGGACAGCAACTGGAGCTGGGACTAAGAGAGACAAGCTGTGGCATGTGGCTTGCTTCATGTTAACATACATTTATAGATGTCTGGGTAGGATTGATTCCACAGAAGCCTGTAGTGCGTTCATTCTCGCCTGACAGTAGATGGCATTGTCAGAGAGCAGAAACAATCTGGAACTTAGCTGACTGGCAAGGCAGGAAAACATAAAACTTCTAAAACTTGGTTTTCCTCCTGCAAAAAATTTGTTCAACTCTGCTGCTCAAGAAGACACTTATGAGCTGATTTTTGATGTGTTCCTCTTCTTACTACAAGGAAAGCTCACTTTTTAGAAGCCCGTGGCTGGCAGTTGCCATTTGGCCAGTAATTGCTTTCATTTTTTTGTCAGGAGGACTGGGAGGTCAGTAAACCAGTGTTTCTTGCTATATTTAGGCAGTGAGGGTTCTTGTGCTGCATGCAAGAGGCTGGCAATAAAGTGTCTTTGCTTCTGACAGTTTTCAGCTTTGGGCCTGGAAATAGTGGGACTGGGAAGATGAAACCCAGTCTAATGTTTTTTGTTTGCTTGTCTAGAACAAACTCACAATGCTGGACATTGCAGCCAACAGAATCAAGAAGATTGAAAATGTCAGTCACCTCACAGAGCTGCAGGAATTCTGGGTAAGCACAGGCTGGAGTTGTTCCTGAAATGTCTGTACAATGGTGGAAGCAGCCCTTCTGGTAGGGAGCAGTGGGAGGGTGGTGTATATATGTATGTCTTAGAGTAAATTCTTTTGTTCTGGTGACCAGCTTTAAGATCTTGACAGTCTGCATGGACAGAGTAAGTGATGGTTTCCCCAGAGGAAAGAATTGAGCTTAAAAATTTCTTTGCAGAGCTTTGCTTAGTGTTAAGGAGCCTGTCTGTACCTAGGAAATAGGCCCTGCCTTCACGCCTGTGATGGTTATGAAACAGCCCTACTGTGTCCTATTTTTGCAGATCTCTTATTTCTTTAAGTGAACATGACAGTGTGATGGGGGAAGCTGATACTGTCTCACCACTACATTGGAGCAAAGTATCTTAGAGCAGAGTTGATACGTTCATGTCATTATGAAGAAAACTCATGGCAGGGGGGTTGGAACTAGATGATCTTAAGGTCCCTTCCAACCCTAACTATTCTGTGAATCTATGATCTTCTGGTTCAGGGTTGCTTCTCTTTCTTTCTGGCACCCTGAATAGTTAAGCCCTTTGTCATTCATAAGTCAGGTCCGGAAATACGGAGAGACACCCTCTCCTGAAACCTAAAGTCTTTTAACACCTTAAGGAAGCAGAATTTCAATCCTAGAGACTAGGAATCTTCTGACAGTTTCCTAGTACCACCTCCCCAGTGGAGGGACAAAGACATCTGAAGGTCCAGTCACCTGGCTCAAGTAATATTGTGATGAATTGTAGAAGGAAAGATCTAGCAGGCTTTCTTCAGGGTCTTAGTCTGGAGTCTCAACTATAAAGCTTTCTTCAGCTGAGACTCTGGCAGGCCCAAAGAAGCAGTTTTCTTTCACTGAATTAGCTGGTGGGAGGCAGCTGGAGGAAACAGAGCTGCTTATCTGCCACGTTACTGTGAATGCCCAGCGCAAGGAAGAGCAGTTGTTGAGGGGTACCAGAGCAAATCCTTTGATTATTTTTACATATA